ACACAGCAGGGCCTGGCCTCGTCTTGAAGATACAGATTGCCGGCTAGTCAAGATTGGGTACCAGGTCAGGACGACATCTGCAACCTGTATGTCTTGAGGTTCAGACCCAGGGTAAAAATCTAAAATAATGGGTCTCAATTCTGTATATTAAAAATCAGCCAAGAATGGAGGGAATCCCAATTAGACACAAAACAAGGTTCCTGCTCTACACCATACCAATTACCCAGGTAGAATCCAGGTATTCAGGTTGATTTTAACTGTAACCAGGATTAGAACCTTAATGTAATCAAGGATTAGAACCTTAATGTAAAGCTTTTCAAACTCCTCTGAACATCAAAATTATTGTCCCAGAACCTGGGTTTGAACCCGGTCTGAAGGTGAGGTATTTTGTCCTCCCGATGGGGAGGGGAGTGAGGGCAGCACCAGCAGCAGATGCCAGCGAGATGAGGCTTTGAGAAAAGCACTGCATGACCCAAAATAACTGAAATGAAGTGCTGAAGATCAAACAGTAAATGAACTCTGTGATTACTGGCAATAAATTTAATATCCTGACCATATTTGACTTAAGCTAGTATTAAAATAAGTTGAATGTTTTGCAGCACCTGGCCAGATAAACCAAGGAAAAACTTCCTGTAATGTCCTGATTAGAAAAGTTAGGATGATAAATCCTAGTTCACATTTTCAATGTGCATGTCCAGAGAAAATGGAGAGTATGTTCAGAGGTAGTTGCTTCCATTCAGGCCCTTATTATGGCAATGGGAAGTCTAAAGTATGTTTCAGGAGGGAATACTTCAATAACTGAATTACAAAAGCACACACTCACATAGAAGCACATATACTTACATGCTATTACTGAAGATAGAAGGCTGTACTTAAGGGTTTTGTATTTACTGGCTGATCTGTGATTTTGAAAACTACAACAGAAATATTGGTTTTTGAGCCCTATCCTGTTTGGCTCAGTGGATAGAGCTGTCAGCCTGCGGTCTGAAGGGTCCCAGGTTCGATTCTGGTCAAGGGCACTTGCCCGGGTTATGGGCTCAATCCCCAGTAGGGGGCTTGCAGGATGCAACTAATCAATGATTCTCTCTGATCACTGATGTTTCTATCTCTCTCTCCTTCTCCCTTCCCCTCTGAAATAAATAAAAATATATTTAAAAAAAAAAGAAATATCAATTTTTTACTTACAAATCCACCAAATCATTTAACCACCTGCCATTGTACCTCTTTAATCCAAAGCCGGCTTAATGCTTAAAATAAAGGTTGGCAGTGAAATGCTCTTTTGGATACATGTTGAGAAATTTTACAAAAGGATCATCAATCAAAAATAGTAATATCAGAAAAACAATTTTAAATAAGTGCTTTAATAAGACCTGCCTTTGTTGCTTTGACCTTGAACAACTTAGTTTATTATTATACAATGAATTGGAGAAGTACACGAACTGTGACCCTTCCAAAGAAACCTTTCAGAGAATTCTCCGATTCTTCTTCAAACCCGCAACCTGTGTATGTGCCCTGACTGGGATTTGAACCTGCAACACTTTGGTTCACAGGATGACGCTCCAACCAACCGAGCCGTACCAGCCAGGGCTCCTTGAGCTCCTTTAGAGAAGGAGCTGAGTGCTCGTTTGCATTTGAAAATATATTAAGTATTCCTTGGAATCATCCTTTCCTTTATCCCTGCCGGGACCCAAGTGGTCCACATTATCAACTCTGCCCAAGGCCAAAAAATGGTTGGTAGGGGTGGCTGTGGAAGGAGGATGATACAGAAGAAAAAAAATGCCATCTTCGTAATTATACACAAATAACCACAATCAAGTACTTTTAGTCTGAAAGCAGAAGTCTGGCTTTTAAAAGTACTACATATATATAAAGGCTAGTTAGTTTATATATAGAGTAAAATAACAATAGCCACATGTGGGATTTAAGCTTAGAAGACCATGACACTGACAGGAAGAGAACAGTAGAAACAACACACACACAGGAATGCCTGATATTTACTTTGGCGTATGATGGGTCAGGAATTGGTTGAATGCTCTACATATATTAATTAATCTTCATAATAGTCCTGAGGCAGAATACTGCCTAGTAATAGAAATAATAGTATCCTATGTTTTCTACTTAACATGTCATTTCAGAAGAAAGTAGCACATGTTTCTCTTTGGGGGCTTAAAATACAACAACAAAACACCACGTTGGTATCAGGGTGTCTCAAATATACAAATTCTCCCTCCCTACTTCACTCCCCAAATCAAAGAGAGTGTGTTCCAAATGTGGCACAGAACAGGAAGGTTTGTGCTCTTTTTAAATTCAAGAATTCATTATATCTTAGCAAACTTTCACCCGCATTTTCCTATTAAGCCCCGTATGGCCAGGTGGCCTTAGACCAGGGGTGGGCAACCCCTGGCACGTGTGCCAAACATGGCAAGCCAGTAACTTTTGCTGGCATGCGAAACTCTCTCTTATAATCTTCCATTTACAATTTTTTTCTTAATATCGACTTTTTTTATTTTTCAGATAAATTCAGTGTAGGTGCATCTTAGATAAATAAATAATTTTACATAACAAGTTATCTTAAAGACCATAGACATGGATTGACGAGAGAGGGGAAGAGCAATTTCAATAGTGTCGAAAATGAACTACTGAGGACTTGGAATGCCATTCCAGAAAATTTTTTCTGTTTAAAAAACTTTGCAACAGCGTTACTCT